GATGCTTTCTTTTTTCCATTGTATAGTTTTAGCTTCTTTGTCAAAAATCAAGTGTTCACAGGTATGTGGGTTAATATCAGGGTTTTCAATTCGGTTCCATTGGTCTACCTACCTGCCTATTTTTGTGCCAATACCAAGCTGTTTTCAGGACTATAGCTCTATAATAGAGCTTGAAGTCAGGTATTGTGATGCCTCCTGAAGTTCCTTTATTGTATAGGGTTGTTTTGGCTATCCTGGGCCTTTTGCTTTTCCATATAAAGTTGATGATTGTTCTTTCAAGGTATGTGAGGAATTGTGCCGGAATTTTGATAGGTATTACATTGAATCTGTAGACTGCTTTTGGCAAGATTGCCATTTTTTTTTGGTTTTACGAGGCAGGGTTTCTCTGTATTGTTTTGGAGGCTGTCGGTCCAGCCTGGCCTCGAATTCACAGAGATGAACCTGCCTCTGCCTCCCGAGTTCTGGGATTAAAGGCATGCGCCACCAACACCCGGCTAAGATTTCAATTTTTATTATGTTGATCCAATCAAACCAAGAGAATGGGAGATCTTTCATTTTCTGGTATCCTCTTTGATTTCTTTCTTTAAAGACTCAAAGTTCTTGATATACAGGTCTTTCACTTCCTTGGTTAACATTATCCCCAGATATTTGATGCTGTTTATGGCTATTGTAAAGGGTGATGTTTCTCTGATTTCTTTCTCAGTCACTTCATCATCTGTATATATTAGGGCCACTGATTTTTTGAGTTAACCTTGTATCCTGCCACTTTGCTGAAGGTATTTATCAGCTCTAGGAGTTCCCTTGCGGAGTTTTTCGGGTCACTTATGTAAACTATCATATCATTTGCAAATAGTGAAAGCTTGACTTCTTCTTTTCCTATTTGTATCCCCTCGATCCCCTTTTGTTGTCTTATTGCTGTAGCTAGAACTTCAAGTACAATATAAAAGAGATATGGAGACAGTGGACAGCCTTGTCTTGTTCCTGATTTTAGAGGAATTGCTTTGCGTTTCTCTCCATTTAGTTTGATGTTAGCTGTTGGTTTACTGTATATTGCTTTTATTATGTTCAGGTATGTTCCTGTTATCCCTGATCTCACTAGGACCTTTACCATGAAGGGGTGCTGGATTTTGTCAAAGGCTTTTTCAGCATCTAGTGAGATGATCATGTGGTTTTTCTTTCGCAGTTTGTTTATATGGTGGATTACATTGATGGATTTTCTAATGATGAACCATCCCTGCATTCCTGGGATGAAGCCTACTTGATCATGGTGGATGAGTTTTCTGATGTGTTCTTGAATCCGATTTGCTAGTATTTTATTGAGTATTTTTGCATCGATGTTCATGAGGGAAATTGGTCTATAGTTCTCTTTCTTAGTCGTGTCTTTGTGTGGCTTAGGCACCAAGGTAATTGTAGCCTCGTAAAAAGAGTTTGGCCGTGAGCCTCCCGCTTCTATTGTGTGGAATACTTTGAGGAGTATTGGAATGAGCTCTTCTTTGAATTTCTGGTAGAATTCTGCACTGAAGCCATCTGGGCCTGGGATTTTGTTAGTTGGGAGACTTTTGATGACTGCTTCTATTTCATTAAGGGTTATAGGTCAGTTTATATTGTTTATCTGTTCTTGATTTAGTTTTGGCAAGTGATATCTATCCAGGAAATTGTCCATTTCCTTTATATTTTTGAATTTTGTGGAGTACAGATGTTAAAAGTATGCCCTGATGATTCTCTGGATTTACTCAGTGTCCGTTGTTATGTCCCCCTTTCATTTCTGATTTTGTTAAGTAGCATGCTCTCTCTCTGTCTTTGGTTATTTTGGACAGAGGTTTGTCTATTTTGTTGATTTTCTCAAAGAACCAACTCTTTGTTTCATTGATTCTTTTCAATGTGTCCTGGTTTCTACTTGATTGATTTCAGCCCTCAATTTGATTATTTCCTGGCGTCTGCTCCTCCTGGGGGAGTTTGCTTCTTTTTGTTCTAGAACATTCAGCTGTGCTATTAATTCTCTAGTGTGACTGTTCTCCAGTTTCTTCATGGGGGCACTTAGTGCTATGAAGTTTCCTGTCAACACTGCGTTCAGAGTGTCCCATAAGTTTGTGTATGTTGTGTCTTCATTCGCATTGAATTCCAGGAAGTCTTTAATTTCTTTTTTTATTTCTTCCTTTACCCAGGGATGGTGCAATTGTGCATTGTTCAATTTCTATGAGTTTGTAGGGTTTCTGCGATTTGTGTTATTGTTGAATTCTAATTTGAATGTATGGTGGTCTGATAAGATACAGGGGGTTATTCCAATTTTTTGTATCTCTGGAGGTTTGTTATGTTTCCTACTATGTGTTTAATTTTAGAGAAGGTTCCATGTGGCACCAAGAAGAAGGTATAATATCCCTTTGTGTTTGGGTGGAATGTTCTATAGATGTCTGTTAAACCCAGTTGGGTCATAACTTCTATTAGTTCTTTTGTTTTTTTGTTTAGTTTCTGTCTGGAGTTCCTGTCTAGTGGTGAGAGCGGAGTGTTGAAGTCTCCTACTACTAGTGTTTGAGATTTTATGGGCAATTTGAGCTTAATAATGTTTCTTTCATGAATGTGGGTGCCTTTGTATTTGGGGCATAGATGTTCAAAACTGAGACTTCATCTTGACGGACTTTTCCTTTGATGAATATGAAATGTCCTTCTTCATCTCTTTTGATTGATTTTAATTTTAAGTCTAGTTTTCTAGATATTAGGATTGCTACACCCACTTGTTTCTTGGGTCTGTTTGATTGGAAAATCTTTTCCCAACCCATTACTCTGAGGTAATGTCTGTCTTTGATGTGGAGATGTGTTCCCTGCATGCAGCAGAAGGATGGATTCTGTCTTCATATCCATTCTGCTATTCTGTGTCTTTTGATAGTCAAGTTGAGACCATTGACATTGAGGGATATTAATGACCATTGGTTGATGATCCTTGTTTGTGCTTGATTTATTGGTAGTGGATTCATTTTATGTAGGTTCTCCTCCCTTTTTCTTTTGGTGTTTGGTAAAGGGGAATTATCTATTGCCTGAGTCTTTGTGAGTGTCGTTATCTTCGTTGGGTCTAGGTTTTCCTTCTAGCACTTTCTGTAGAGCTGGATTCATGGATACATATTGTTTAAATCTGGCTTTGTCATGGAATATTTTGTTTTCTCCATCTATGGTAATTGAAAGCTTTGCTGGATATTGTAGTTTGGGCTGGCATCCTTGTTCCCTTAGCGTTTGCAGGACATCTGTCCAGGATCTTGTGGCTTTTATAGTTTGAATTGAGAAGTCAGGTGTAATTTGGGTAGGTCTGCCTTTATATGTTACTTGAACTTTTTCTTTAGCTGCTCTTAATATTTTCTCTTTATTCTGTAGGTTTGATGTTTTGATTATTATATGGTGAGGTGACTTCTTTTTCTGGTCCAACCTATTTGGTGTTCTGTAAGATTCTTGTATTTTCATAGGCATATCCTTCTTTAGGTTAGGGAAGTTTTCTTCTATGATTTTGTTGAATATGTTTTGTTTACCTTTGAGCTGTATTTCTTCACCTTCTTCTATTCCTATTATTCTCAGGTTTGGCTTCTTCACAGAGTCCCATATTTCCTGGATATTTTGTGTTAGGGATTTGTTGGTTTTGAGATTTTCTTTGGTTGATGACTGTATATCTTCTAATGAGTCTTCAACACCTGAGATTCTCTCTTCTATCTCTTGTATTCTATTGGTGATACTTGCATCTGTAATTCCTGATCGTTTCCCCAGCTTTTCTTTTTCCAGCATCCCCTTGTTTAGTGATTTCTTTATTGTTTCTATTTCAGCTTTAGAGCCTTCAACTGTTTGAGTTGTTTCTTTCATTTGTTTGGTTGTTTTTTCTTGGTACTCTTTAGATTCATTGAGAGATTTGTTTATTTCTTGAATTTTCCCCCATTTCATGGATTTTTTGTTTTTTCTTCTGTTTCTTTAAGGGATTTCCTCTGTTCCTCTTTGAGGGTCTCTATCATCATCATAAAATGATTTTTAAGGTCAGTCTTCTCTGCTTCATCTATGTAGTGCTTTTCATGTCTCACTGGCATTGGTTCTCTAGATTCTGGTGGAGTCATGTTGGTCTTTCTATTGCTGAGTGTGCTCTTATTCTGTCTTCTTCCCATCTCTTCTTCCAGTGGGTGCAGGTGGGGTCTTTCCTTCTCCACTGGTCTCCTTCCTTCCTGAAGCTGAGGCTAGGGATGCTGACACTGAAGCTGAAGCTGAAGCTTGGGTCCCTGGAGTTTGGGGCCTGGAAGGGCTGATGTCTTTCCTGCGTGGGCGGGTCTTCTGGATGCCAGGAGCGGGCCCCCGGAAGATTGAGGGGATGGGTGTTGGTCGGGGAACCGAGAGTGTCCCCCCCGAGACCCAAGCTCACCTGAAGCTGGGATCGCCAGAGCTTGGGGCTTGGAAGGGCTGATGTCTTTCCTGTGTTGGCGGGTCTTCTGGATACCAGGAGCGGGCCCCCGGAAGATTGAGGGGATGGGTGTTGGGCGGGGGACAGAGAGTGTCCCCCCAGAGACCGAAGCTCGCCTGAAGCTGGGATCGCAGAGGGTTGGGGCCTGGAAAGACTGAAGTCTTTCCTTGAATCTATTTTTAATAAAAAAACAAAAAAGGATTCAGTCATATGATTTTTATGTGAGTAAATCCTGCTGAATATCATAAGTGGTGGGAATTCCTGAGTGTCTGTGAAGGCTCTGGAGCCTACACTGACGTTTATACCACTATGGTTTCCTCAAGTTGAGCATGTGAATTAGATTCCCTGTATTGTTCTCCTCTCTATAAAATGGGGATAATGATTGTGTGGTTACCATGGAGGGACGGGGAAATGGGAATATCAGGTGGGTTAATACTCCTGAAGTGTATAAATGAGGCTCCAATGAAGCAAAGCAGAGGAGAGGAATGGGTCTGTTTGTGTGAACCAGGGTTTGCTTGGTGAGACACTGTTGTGTGCTGAAATATCTGCCTAACAGAACTTCTTTTACTGAAGGTGATTCACCTCTTACGTGACTCCCTGTCTTGTCAACATTTCCTGTTACTTTGAAGATATTTATGATCTTGGCATCTTTCAAATGGATCTCTTCCCCCTATATAAACAAAGGTAAAATCTTAAAATGAATTTCATGGAGGGATTCAAATTAGATCTTTATGAAGCACAGGGATCTCCTCCATGGGATTCAGACATTCCCACAACTAGATCTTGCACACTGTCTCATGGTCTGGCAAAACAGCATTCTCCACCCTGATCCCAGTTGTGCTTCAAAACTCACTGCTCCTGACTTCAAAAGGCTCAGATCTGCCTTGACAAGAAAGAGGGCATGAGTAGGGTGTTACACAATCCATCAAAGACTGTAAACCCATCTTGCTCATCTTGCTGATGTAACTTCCCAATTATTACAGCTACTGCATTCACCCAATTAGGGAGCACATCCCACAGAGACTGTAGCAGTGGGGCTGGTAGAGAAGTTTTCCTGCCAAGGAGATCCAATTTGTAGGCAACACAAACCTGCACTGGAGGTGGCAATGTCATCATGTACATGCCTGAACATTCTACCTTCTGTTCAAGGACACAGTGACATCCCTCATGAGCACTACCACTACATCTAAAGATATGAACTAAGAAGTGATCTAAATAAGTTGGTGCATACAGTAAATGTAGTCTTAGTTTGGTACTCAAGAAGATAATTACTCATGTAAGATAGTCAGGACACTTCATATTCAACAATGAACTGAGGGATGCTTTCTTTCTTTCTTTCTTTCTTTCTTTCTTTTTTTTTTACGGGACAGGGTTTCTCTGTTTTGGAGGCTGTCGGTCTAGCCTGGCCTCGAACTCACAGAGATCCGCCTGCCTCTGCCTCCCGAGTGCTGGGATTAAAGGCGTGCGCCACCAACGCCCGGCGAGGGATGCTTTCTAATATGGACAGTTGTGTAAGCTATGGGGAATGATGGAAAGATCCATGTGTACTCACATTTTACATACAGATTTAAAATTTGGTAACAGGGAAAGAATTCAGGTTTTTACACATGTTTTCCTATCACACCTACACTAACATACCCATGTACAGAGAAATGTATATATATATCTCAAGTATGGAATTTTGACATAAATGTGTGTACCATGCAAATCACTTTGCTTGGTTCTTTCAGAAGACAATATAGGGGGATTCAGTTTCCTTGTATAAATCCACTACCATAATTTATAAATGACATTTGAGCATTCTTCTGCTTATACATCTCATCCAAGTTACTCAACATAATTATGTACTGCAAACACTGCTTAAATAAACATCATTTTATATATGGTATTGTGAACTCTTTTTTGACTATTAATTCCAAGCATTAAAATGGTTGGTTAACAGATACTCACATATCAGCATTTGATAGATAAAATGAAATTGCTAAGAAAAACCTCTTATAGTCGGAACTTCTGCTATTAGTCATGGAATTTAGGGTTTCTTATACTCTTGTCTGTAGTATGTTAAACCCCAATACATAGACAGACTACTTAAATACAACCATGTGACAGCAGGGACAAGGTATGAAAGGTTAGTGCTCTGTAAACCATCACTTATTTTGATTTCCCACCTTCTCTTGTGTTCCTGACTTAACAATAGCTTTATTTAATCTCATTTTCAGATTTGCTAATGCAAAGGAGTGCATCTTCAAGCTGAGAGGACTCCTTATCAGCCTAGCAGCATTGGTGTTTGAAATAGTCATTGCAAATAGCCAATGCTGGCGCCTGTGGGAATTCAACAACAAGGTCGTGCAATTTGTGTCCTTTGGACTGTGGGAAGCTCATTACCCTCAAGAGTTTAATGTCTCAGGGACTGTAGTCAAGATGCTGGTGCATACCCCTATCAATTCCACCTGGACCATTTCCCCTGAATATCAGTATGCAAAAACCCTGATAATGTGGGCCGTTTTGATGAAGCCTGTAGTTCTGATTTTTGGTGCAATAGCCATCAAGATCAGCTGTATGAGAGACCCATTCGTGGAGTTGCAGATACATTGTTACAAGGTCTGTGCCTTAAATTTGTGTGTTAGCAGCCTCTTCACATGTGTTTCTGTGAGCTGGAACCACTTTGTAGATCATTATGGCCAAACCACTCTTGACTTTCCACCTAACTTTCCGGTTAAAAAAGAAGCCTTGATAGACAAACACAATACTGCTGTGTTCCCAATAGGGGTTCTGACAGCCACCATGTCACTCTTTGGTGTGATCTTCTTTCTCTCTGAGATAAGAAATTTGAAACTACAGAGTCAGGTGAAGGCCCAGCGTGCTTGCATAGTGGCCAATCAAGAGGCTTGAAGTGAGGGCTCCTGCATTTGAAGAATCTGTTAAACGTTTCCTTGAAGAAAGTTTTTATTCATACAGATAACTCCTATGGTCATCAATTCATTCTAAATAAAGCACCAACTTGATTCTCTCTGTGTGTCTAAGCTTACTTCCTACTCTATCTGTCTAAAGTGTTCCTTTCTTTGAATGTTTTCACATCCTAAACTCTGAAGGCCATGATCATGTATTCAGATATTTCCAACAAGGAGCTGTGTGCAACAGTGATTGTGAAAAGCACATTGCAAAAATAAACATGACAAATACCAAGTGAAAGAACATTTGTAAGGAAACAAAGAAAAGTAACCACAGTTTTGTCTGGAGACCCTTAGGTACCCAGGACTAATGGAGGCAGAGCTGGACTTCATAGTGTTGAGTCTGTGGAGAGTGTGTGCCCTTTTTATGCAGTAGGAAGAAACCTATATCTTTCTGTTTGTTTCCAGTGTGCTCTGATGGAACAAGTGGTATGGATATCAGTGGACTATTTGTCTGAGTTGTTTTTCTTGCTTTACTCAAATCAATTTTGGTGGCAAGTTTACTGTACATTGGGCAATCCCACTAATCCCAAACCTTCCCCATTTTACATAAGGCTATGTAAATGCCAATAGAATGAAGGCCATTTCACAGTGAAAAGGAAATTTGCTGGCAAATGAGTAGAACTAGAAAAGATCATCCTGAGTGAGGTAACCCAGACCCAGAAAGACAAACATTGCATGTACTCATTTCTAAGTGAATGTTATCCATATAGTAACGGATGACCATGCTACAAACCCAGATCTAGAAAATCCAAGTAACAAGGAGGCCTCAAGGCGGCACTGGAGAATCTCACTGTGAAGGGACAATTGAATAGACAATTGGTGAATGGATGGAGGGTATAGATGGGGGTTTGTGGTGGGAACAGGAATTATCAGGTTGGGGGAACATGGAGGGAGAGAGTACTGGGAGAGACAACTGGGATCAGGGGCATCTTTGGGGTGAGCTAGAAACCCGGTGCAATGGAAGCTCCCAGGAATCTATGAGGGGACCCAGCCCTCCCCATCCCATCTTATTTTCATCCTCTATTCCTCCTCTATTTCTTTTCATAAAATGGTAGGTCTTACATTTTTATCAGCCAACCATGGAATATCAAATTGCAATGAGACTAGACATCTCTTCTATTAAGGATGTATGAGGCAATCCAATAGGAGGAAATGATCCCAAAAGCTGGCAACAGAGGAAGAGACAGCCCTGCTCCCACTGTTAGGAATCCCACAAGAAGACCAATCTATACAGCTGTGATACATATGCAGAAAGCCTAGGGTTTCTTATTTTTTTACATTCCAAGATTAGTTCACCTTATTTTGTCCTTACTCATTTATGTATTTCATTTTATTCATTTGCTGATTTGATTTTACATGCGGCCCAAGTCAGTGTGGAAATCTGGATATTGCTATGTAGTGGAAGCTGGCCTTGAACCCCTGGCCTTCTACCTTCACCCTCCCCTGTACATGCTAGGATTGCAGATGTATTTCAGTCCTAATTCGGACACTAATGAAATAGAAGTGGGAGAAAGTCATTACTTTGTGATTGTGTTATCTAGTCTAAATCCCGTACATCTAAGAAGTACATAGGATATTGATTTTCTTCTCTATTTTAGGTTGTCTGCTTACCATCCAGTCTTTCTGATGCTTGAGTTTATTTTAGAAACAAGTAATTTGGGAATAAACTAAACTCAAAATATTGAGAAAACTGACTTCTTGACATCTAAAAATAGCAAATTACTCTTTTCTCTTTTTATTATTTATTTTTAAATTTAAATTTAAATTAGAAACAAGGTTGCTTCACAAGTCAGTTCCAGGTCCCTCTCTGTTTCCCTCTGGGTTTCTGATTTTTATTGTTAGATTTACAAGACTTTGTCCACAAGGGTCATGCCCATCCTCCAATGCCAATTCCCTATGGTACTGCTTCTATTTGGATTTTCTGCCAGATCCCTCACAACCCATGCCTACCAGAACAATCTGCACACATCAAGTCCTGGCTGTGGATGAGCAGATCATACATCAAATTTCCCTGGTGATCTTGACCACATTTTGCCCTTCTGTATAATCCTAACACTCTTATTAGTAGCTCTGGTCATATACGTCCTGTACCAACTTTCCATACAGGATTAATCAGATACAAGCAAGTTTGTGTCATCTTCATACTCCCAAGGTCTATCTCTGGGAACACAGATCAAGCACCCATTCACAAGATGATGTTCCTCATAACTTCTTCTATCCAGTGCCATTCCCATACTCTCTGAATTTGCTCTGGTGACACAAGTTTTGTCACTGGATTTCTATGTCTTGAATCATGAGAAATGATCCTGCTAATGTCTTGCATATGCTAATACCGACATCTAGATGCACACATCGCTTAGCCAATTTTCTTGCACAGAAACTCAGGCATCAGAGCTATCCCCATGTCTCCAGGCCTAATTGTGACTGAACAGTTGTGTATCTTCTTTTCTTGGTGAATATCCCTCACATACACCTGCATAATCTCTACAAAGTCCTAGACATGGATGCAGAATCAGACATCAGTTTTCTTTATGACAGTCAACTGACTTCTGCCACGTCAGGACTGGCAGGCTGTACACTGGCTTTGCCTGGGGATTCCACAAGAATGACACCCGACACTCACAAAACCACCTTTCCAATCCTGTCAGTAGTCAGGTAACTCCTATACCAGAACATCTCCATATCCAATGCCTGCCTCCAGATGCACAGAAACCATACGGCTAAGCCTGATGGAACTACCCAGAAGCTCTCATACTCTCTTGTCTAATGCTCTAGTTCTGGATTTGCAGACTGAATAACATATTTGCTCTCTGAGTACCAAAAATTTTCCTTTAAGCAGCTTTGTCATAATCCAGAGCTAGCGCAACTAATGCAGGTTCCACCAGGGCTCATACTTAAATATCCCTAGAACAGTGCCTGCTCATGTCAAATCCACAACCCCAGGTGTAACTCGTGATTCTCAATTCAGATAGACACATGCAGTGTTCTCAGATCCCTTGAACCTTTCCAGGCCCCCTCACGTCTACCCTCTTGGTTTAGATCTGGTCATCTAGATCTTGTTGTTTCTTTTCATACCACATAACCACAGAACCAAGATGATCTGTGCCATGTACACTAGTAGGGTTAACTGTAGTCACACAGCACGGACACTTTCTCTTCCTAGTGATCCCTTTCCCCTACCACACAGACAACAGCTTGCATGCCCCAACTTCAAAAATTAATGCCTAGCCTAATATGAGAAGTGGCTGTTTGTTTTCATTGGATGGGAGCCACAGCACTTGTCCCTAAAGGGTCAGTCCCACACACCCACTTCTAGCTCTGGTCATCCAAAAGTTGCTCTAGATTTACCTGGGAAGTACTTTCAGAAACCTTCCCATCCTTGCTGCATTACGATTCTCTTGTTTAGTTCTGGAAATACAGATCTCTCACTAAGTGTGCTTAGCGAGGTCCCAGGAGTGCCATTGTAGCATGCTGAAGCCTAGATCTACCCACTCTGCTCCTGTACCAGGTTTCTCTGATTGTTTCCCAGAACACAGACTGCTCAAGTCACATCTTCTCTTGCAGGTATATCCCCATTTCGTTGCTTACACAAAATTTGCAGCATAATTTTTTAAAGATTTTATTTATTCTATTATGAATACAACACCCTGCCTTTATGTATGTCTGCACGCCAGGAGAGGGCACCAGATCTCATTATGGATGGTTGTGAGCCACCATGTGGTTGCTGGGAATTGAACTCAGGACCTCTGGAAGAGCAGTCAGTGCTCTTAACCTCTGAGCCATCTCTCCAGCCCCCCAGCATAATTTTTTTTAAGGGAACAAGGGTATATTTGGCTCATCAATCCAGGGGATACAGTCCATTAGGGCAGAAAAGGTATAGTGGCAGCAGTATGAGGTAGCTGGTCACATCATCAGGAATCAGAGAACAGACAGGATGTGAGGACTACCTATAGAACCTTAAGGCCCGTTCCATGTCAATCTGACCCCTAGTGACTCTGTCTCCTAAAGGTGCCACAACCTTCAAAAACAGGACCAGTATGTGTAGACAAAATATTCAAGTATATTAGTCTATCAGTGACATTTCACATTCCAACTCCACCACTTTCCAAACAGAAAATACCAGCCCCTTCTTTAGGTACCCTCGGCCTGACAGCTTGTGTCATTGTGAGTGTGGCCATAACCGGTCAGACCTCTGTAATAGAAGTCATCCACCTCATGCAGTGAGTAGTCGAGGATTGTGTTCTGATCCTGGAATTTGAAGTATCCACAGAACTTCTTCTTCTGAACCAGTAGCTGATATCAAGCCACATGTCTGCAAAGGGAATCTAGTCCAGTTGGAACCGCTGAGGGTGCATTTTGTCACTCTCTGTGGGCATCCCATGCACATGGACAATAGAGAAGGTATTTACATCCATCAGCTTGGTGGAACCCACAAACTAAAATAAGATGTGGCTCACCTTGTGCATTGCATCCACTGTAAGTACACTGTCTTCCTGCAGCTCCCTCTTAGCGCTGTCCTTAATGGTGTCTTCTTCCTGCAGTTTGCCCCCAAAGCCATCCCAGTGTCGAGCACCAAAGTCCGTTTTCTTTGTATGCATGAGAACTTGTTGAGGTTGCAGCACCATCACCAGAATGTAGAGCCTGAAGGTGCCAATGGTCTCTCAAGTCTTCTGCACCCCATGCAAGATACAGTCAATAGAAGCTTGTATGACAGCTTCATCCCTACAAACCCAGGCAAATTTGTCTTACAGCTCCTTAGACTAATTCCCTTTCAGCATCCTCCAGAACCACACCTCCCTGTACCATCTGCACACTCCAAGTGTTTATGTGTAGGTCAGACATCAGATTTTACTGGTGATGTTGACCTATTTTCACTGGCCAGGTCCGTCCCTTTACTCTGCAGAATAACTGTGATAAAAATAGTTCCTGTACCATGTTTCCCTGGTTATTTCTTCTGAAACAGGTCTGTCTGTCTTTCCATCCCCACACTTCTAAATGCTAGTTCAGTAAGTTTAGATCATGTACTAGTTTATAATAATAATGGCCTGCAGCACCTCCCCTGCCAGTGTGACTTTTTAAAAACTTTTTAACTTTAAATTTGTAACAATCTTATTTTATATATCAATCCCAGTTCCCTCTGCCTCACTTTCTCCCATGACCCCACTGACGCCCATCCCATTACTCTTCTGCTCCATTGAAAGGGTGAGTCCTTCTATGGGGAATCATAAAAGTCTGTCACATCATTTGGGGCAGGGCCTAGGCGTTCCCCTGTGAGTCTAGGCTGAGAGAGTATCATTCTATGGGGAATGGGCTCCCAATGTCTATTCGTATACTGGGTATAAATGCTATTGCATTGCCAGGGCCCCATAGACTGCCCAGGCCTCCTAACTTACACCCACATGCCCGGGGCCTGTTTCCATTGAGCTATGCTGCTTTCCAAGCTGTCAGTCTGGGGTCCATGAGCTCTCCCTTGTTCAGGTCAGTTGTTTCTATGGGTCTCTCCATCCTGGTCTTGACTCCTTTGCTCATGACTCCTCCCTCTCTACAACTGGATTCCAGGAGTTTGGCCCACTGTTTAACTATGGGTCTCTGTTTATGTTTCCATCAGCTACTGAATAAAGGCTCTAGGATAGTATTTTAGGTAGTCATCAATCTCATTATAGAGGAAGGGCATTTAAGGGAGCCTTTCCACTATTGCTTAGAATCTTAGTTGGGGTCATCCTTGTATATCTCTGGACATTTCCCTAGTGCCATATTTCTCTTTAAACCTATAATGGTTCCCTCTATTAAGGTATCTCTTTACTTGCTCTCCTCTACTTTTCCCCTGACTCAATCTTCCTGGTCTCTCATGTCTTCCTCCTCCCTCCTCTTCTCCCCTTTTCTTTCTCCTAAGTCCCTCTCAACTCCCCACATGCTTCCCATTTGCTCAGGAGATCTTGTACCTTTCCCATTCTCCTGGAGAATGTCTCTCTTTGGGTCCTCTTTGATTCCTAGCTTCTCAAGAGGTGTGGAGTGTAGGCTGGTAATCCTTTGCTCTGTGTCTAAAATCCATATATTAGTGAGTACATGCCATGTTTCTCTTTTTGTGGCTGGGTTACCTTACTCAGGATGATTTCTTCTAGTTCCATCCATTTGCCTGCGAGTTTCAAGATTCCAAGCCACACAAAGACACAACTAAGAAAGAGAACTACAGACAAGTATCCCTCCTGAATACTGATGCAAAAATACTCAGTAAAGTACTGACAAATGGAATCCAAGAACATATCAGAAAAATCATCTAACATGATAAAGCAGGCTTCATCCCAGGGACACAGGGATGGTTCAACATACAAAAATCCATCAGTGTAGGGCAAGCCCAGCTTCAGGTGAGAGTGGGTCTCCGGCAGGGACACTCCCCATCCCCTGCCCAACACCCATCCTCTCGATCTTCTGGGGCTGCTCCTGGCATTCAGAAGACCTGCCCACAGAGGAAAGACATCAGCCCTCCCAGGCCCCAAACTCTGGCGAGCCCAGCTTCAGGAAAGACATCAGCTCTTCCAGGCCTCAACCTCTGGCAAACTCAGCTTCAGCTTAAGCTTCAGTGTCAGCATCCCCAGCTTCAGCTTCAGGAAGGAAGGAGAACAGTGGAGATGGAAAGACCCCACCAGCACCCACTGGAAGAAGAGATGGTGTAAAGAGAAGCTTTTTCTTTGAGAGAAGCCTTCCTGCCAGTCTGGTTCTAGAGCCGCATCAGTCCCAAATAAACACACAGGAGGCTATATTAATTATGAAGCTGTTGGCCTTGCTTGTTTCTTACTGGCTAGCTCTGACTTAAGTAATTACCCCATAATTGTTAATCTAAGTATGTTTCTTACCGGAGAATAGTTCCGGGCTTCCTACCACATGGTGTTACATGTTGACTCTCTTGTGTTTCTCCTACCCAGAGTTCTTCTGGACTCCTAGTACCTCATATCTAGATTCCCTATTGGCCAGACAGTGCTTTATTGACAAAAAAGAAAGGTCTTAACTTTAGCATAGTCAAATTATATATAACAGAACAGTTATCAAGTAAGAACACAGTTACAACATTTTTTCTATCAACATTTAGTAAGATTTAAAGAAAATATCATCTATCTCATTCTTGTGAGTCCAAAGTCCTATATGTAGCTTATATTTTATCATAACTAAGGAAAACTATAATTATAACTATCTGTCTTCAACTCCATCAATGACCACAGAAGGATAATATATAAACACTAGGATTGACAGAGACATCTTGCTACCTGGACAGTCACCCGAAGTTCCTCTGTAACGTTGGGGCATCCATCTTCAGCCCATAGACCACAATGTGTCTGGAACACTTCTCAGCAAAGCAGGAAATTTCAAACTGTCCATCTGCATTGGCAGTCTGTCAGTCATTTTTCTGTGTCCTGCAGAAAGTCTGGTAGCCTCTTCCATGAAGCAGGAACCCTGTAAGACTGAGTTCAGCAGTCACTTTTCTGTGGGTCCTGCATGTCCAGATTATACAACAACAGTCAAGCAGTAGGCAAGAGCAGTTTCTTGCCCAAATGGCTAATCTTGCCATGTTGAAAGCAAACTCCATAACAAGTTTCTTCGATGCCCATCTTCCTCTCAGACGTAATTGGTGCTGCCAGGAGCAGACATTTCTCATTGTCAAGAAAAACCCTAAACCATTTTAAATGCCATTTTCTGAAGGTCTTTGAGAGGTTTGAAGACTGTTTGTGTCAAATATATTTCTATATATATAGAAAACCTAACTTACCTAACTATAAATTCTGACTATTATAAGTAACTATCTATAATCTGTATTTAATTATGCATTACATTTTAAAAGTTCAGTATAAGCACAATACTTAATCAAGAGGAGAAATATACATATCACAAAATTGACCTTGAATTTGTATCAATAAATGAAAAACAATACCCATACCATAATTCCCCTTTTTACCATTAAAAAGAGATTGGTTGTGATCATTAACCAATTATAAACAATCCCTTTAAATGAAAACAAAGATTTATAAACAAGATGGGAATTAGGACGTCGCTCATTCCAAACTGCTTCTTGCTGGAAGGGGGCGCTGTTCATACCATGGAGATCATGACAAAACTCAGAAACCTGTATAAGTCCGTATTTTCAGGGTCTGTAAAGCTGTATCATCTTAGCTGTTTCAATTGTTGGAATCCTGGTCCACTGCTTCTGGAGGTCTTGGTTCATCAAACCACAGAAGACTGGAAGGAATCCTCAGCTTTTCATTTTCTGTAGAAACCTAAGTAAAATCTCCTTTCCCAAGTAACATACTCTTATACTTAAATTTTGAAGTCAAGGCATTTTCAAAAGATAGAAGTTGGATTAATTCAGCAGCATTTATAATCAAGTGTACTTTAGTAGCAGTTCCTTCCTTAGCAATGAAAAAACTGAAAAACACAATATCATACAGTATCCAGACTCTCTGTGTATTTTCCATCTTTACATGGCTTATTTATTTATCTATTATTACTTTATTTCTTTTACTTTTATTTATTTTTCTTTGAGACACTGTTTCTCTTTGGAAATCCGCCTGCCTCTGCCTCTGGAGTAAATCCTACCGGCGTGCACTACCACAGCCAGCTTCTTTATTTTCTCTCTCAATCTTACGTATATTTTTAAACACACTGTAAACCTTTAGAGGTTTTTCTTCATCCAAGTCTGACTTTACTGTAAATCTTTACGTTTTTCTGGCCACGTGTCTTATCTGTAAAACGGCAGCTGTTTTAAACTGCCATTTCCAAGATGGCGGGCATAAGCGTGATTCCAGCTTACCGCCTCAGTCCAAGCTGCCACTTCTAGCTGTACCTACACACCTTTTAATAGTTAGCAGAGTCTCTTAAAACAACCTTGCTGTTTTTTTTTCTTTTTATGCCGAGTCAGAAAGACTCCGGTAAGCAAGCCACGTGAATCTCGGCTTGTCAATAGCAAAACAGAGCCCACCTGAGAAAATGCTGCTATCAAAAATCTGTGCTTCTCTCCGTTCTTCTGTTTCTAAAAGTCCTTTAAAGCTTTTGTCATTTTGCTTGGAAATTCAATCCCGCTCTGACACCATTCTGTAAAGAGAAGCTTTTTCTTTGAGAGAAGCCTTCCCACCAGCCTGGTTCTAGTGCCACATCAGTCCCAAATAAACACATAGGAGGCTATATTAATTATGAAGCTGTTGGCCTTGCTTGTTTCTTACTGGCTAGCTCTGACTTAAGTAATTACACCATAATTGTTAATCTAAGTATGTTTCTTACCGGAGAATAGTTCTGGGCTTCCTACCACATGGCGTTACATGTTGACTCTCTTGTGTTTCTCCTACCCAGAGTCCTTCTGGACTCCTAGTCTCTCCTATGTAGATTCCCTATTGGCCAGACAGTGCTATATTTACAAATGCACAGGACTTCCCCAACAAGATGGGAAGAAGACAGAATAAGAGCTCACTTAGCAATAGAAAGACCAATAAGACTCCACCAGAATCTAGGGAACCAACATCAGCAACACCTGAAAAGCACTACATGGTCAAAGCAGAGGAGACAGACCTAAAAAATTATTTTATGAAGATGATAGAGACCCTCAAAGAAGAAATGAGGAAATACCTTAAAGAAATAGAAGAAAAAACAAACAAAAAATCCATAAAATGGGGGA